GCAGCATTATTTTTAGGTCTGTTAAAGTATAATTAAATATTTTAAATAATGATATTGTGACTGCATCATTTAAGATATGACACATTCTTTGTAGGTTATTTCTCACCCACACTCAGTACAATTAAACACTTTTAAAATACGAAACTGGCTGTTTTATTACGGGTTCAGATATTTTATTTCGTACCATAAATAAAATAAATATAGAAAACTACTAATACTTATTCCAAATCATTACGCTACTAATATATGCTTAAACAAAGTTAATTAGTTAACGAAAGAAACTACAAATCTAAGAATTCTGAAAGAAATTAGCAGACTGAAATTTAAATTACTAAATTTGAAGTTTAGACCATTACAGCTTCATATAACTTTCAATTTCATTAATTGCACTAATCTTTATCAATCCTTGTAACGATTTTTTTTTGTAAAGTAACATCTAGATTCTCGCCAATAACATTGCGTCCAAAAATAACACTATTAGACGGAAAAATATGTACTTGTTTTAGAAGCACCGCTGAAAGCTAATACAACACTGTCCACGATTGTAAACATAACATTTATACGGTAAATATTTAGATTACTACTACATATTTTATGTTCTGTTTCCAGTTCGTTCGTAGTTTAATGCTTTCGGAAAGTAGTTACACAAAGATAATAAAATCCTTGTATATCGTGATTAATTCGCCCGTTTTTGATATAATTGCGGTTATACCGGGAAAAATCAAATCTTATTTAGATGATTCAAATGAAGTGTTAGACAAATATTTAAGATAAAACGCAGCTGACGGAGTCTGGTACAGAGTTAATCAGTTTTACATCAGGAAAAAGTCTGCTTGTTATTCATACATTATTTAAACGTTCAAAATACAGAGCGTTTCTTCACGAACTGTACATAGTGTAATGGTAGTCAGGCAACTTAGGTGGTTACGAACTATCTAAAAAAATATCGACAACTTTGACGCGTTAGACTGGGAAATCGGAAAATAATTTTCGTCAGACAATATGAAAAGTTGTTTTTGCAGTTCTTTAAGATAGGATCTTGAGAAAATCAGCTGGTTATTAATAAAAAATTTTATAGTAGTTTTTCTGATATGTTCGAGGTTGCAGACATTTTGAACGGCTCATATCTTTTGTCAGAGAATTTTATATTCACGTTTCATTTGAAGTTTTTCAATTAAAAAAAAAAATAGTAAATGTTTCATATGTCGTCAAAACGACGTGTTTCGGAAAAATTAGAGGGGAAACGCTCCAAAATCGAAAAAAGTCGCAGAGGAAAAAGGTGTCAGACTAAGCCTAATGAAGCTATATAAAAGTTTGGATCAATAAAAGTTTTGCCGACGGACACTCTGACTATAACACCTTGTTTAATAACACGAAAAATTGTGGACACTGAAACTTTAGTTAATATATGAATTTTATTTCTAATTTCATTATCTGATTTTTCATTTTCTTCCTTTTTAAAAAATCGTAAATATTTAAAATGAGACATGTAAATCTTTATTTTTAAATTCTAAATCTGTTTTATCAACAACCGGTTCTACTAATTCAATATTGTCTGGCGGTATTTTGTTTTGTTCCGTTTCAAAAGGTCTTCAAAATGCCACGTTGTAATAATATTAGTAAACAAAATATCCCTCTTCTCCCTTTCGCAGTTGTAATATGAATGATTAATAAAAGGTGCCTATGATAAATTCACCCCAAATACCGCATAGTTGCATTGCACTGCTAGGCAATTTGTCGACAACTGAAATTTATGGCCGGTCGCCTAGTTCAGCTGTGTTTGTTCGCCGTTTGCCCGCGCGCGCAATCTTCAGCTGGGCGACCAGACCTGTATATGGGTATGGCTAAATAAATATGGGAACAAGTTTTTCAAATATTTCAATGCCGAGTTGCCGCGTAGCGACCGAACCTAATACATCCCACCTATCTCTTTCGTCTTCAATTGAGAACGGAAAGACTATACTAATTGTCACATCGGAAAATCTTTTCTATTTAATTATGAAAAACTCGAAGTTATTACATTCAGTCAGTCCCCGCTATTAAAATTGCGCCTAACTTTGTCATAGTTTTTTCGGACTTTTATTAGAAGGTCGTTCTTCGAAAAAAACTCAAAAGTTTTATTTGGAAAGTCTCTTCAAATCAGTAAAAGATTATCAGCGATGTCAAACTTTTTTTACAGTTGAGATTCCTTGTAAATCCTTGACTGAACAATTTACGATCTGGTTGTCACGTCATCGGTTTAGGCTTTTTGCATTTTAAGAAAAATTGGACTTATTTTCACTCAATTTCATTCAATATTGTCCACACCCGAATCAGTTTTAGTTCAAATTTTATTTTTTTTTTTTTATTTTTTTTTTTCGTATTCTTCAGATAAAACTCAGTTTCAAGAGAAAGCGATATAACTCTCGAATCGTCAAGAAGCTTAAACCGATAAAATGACAACCCGTCTAAAAAATATTCATCCATTGACTACCATGGTCAAGTCTGCAAACTAAATCTTTGTAATTCTGACATCTGGCTAGTTTTGTTATCATTTATATCAGCAGCGTTCGTCAACTGCATTATCTGAAGATTGGATTTTCAATCATTTTTAAATAATTCATCAATTCGTTCAATTTTTGAAAGATCGTAGAGACTTCAGAAAAAATCTTTACCTACCTACTCTTGTTTTTGTTGCTTGTCTTAATAGAGAAGTCAACTCTAAAAGTTTGTCGTAACATTGCAATTACACCCTGTATATTCCCTCAATCTGATATCGGGACAGTTTTCGTACAGTTTTCTATTTAAAAGCATCCCAAATATCGGTTAAAATACCTGGTCATGTAATCAAATTGTTCCTTGCATTTATTTCCATAACAATTTGGTATAAATAAATAGCTCCGGGTCATTATAACTAGACTAATAAACAAAGACTGACTAATACTAATTGCTTTAATAGCTACATATAAAACAATATATATTTTACGTTGTCGGGATTTAGCTCGAGTTTACTGGCATTATTCTTTAGGTTTTACATCCAATAAAGTTGTTTAATTCAATAAAGCACGAGAGCCGACTAAAACACTTGGCCAAACTTTAATGGTGGATTCTACGTCACAAACCAGCAAAAAAACAAGTTCCTGTAAACATGTGTCCGAAAACGCAAATTACCAGGTGTTAAGTCTAATCCTTTTTTTTAATACAGAAAGACGACAAAGCGATTTTGTTTAAATTTGACATACACCTTTCATTTTTAATTTTTCGAGGTAAACTAAAAAAAAAAATTATTACTAAAGCTGCTAAAACATCAAATTATTTTTTAAATAAAAATAATTATTATTTATATAATCGTCGTATTTATGAATGAAATAAAATGGTACTTATATAACTTCCATTAATTTTAAACACCTTGTTATGGAAAATAAAACATTTCCGGTCAATCTTTTAGATTTTTTTTTGTTAATTCGTGACATAGAATTTGGTGGTGTGGTAGACCATTTTAGTTACATCCTGTATACACGTAAAGAAATTTAACCTTGTGTATTTCACTAATTGTTATTCGCATATTAATAACATTGCTTTCCAATCGTATTTAGTGCTTGAGATGAAATAGAGGCTGAAGCTGAACCTGAATAAGCGGAGTAATATACAGGGTGTACCCCGAGAAATGCACATACTTTAAGTTGTCATTTCTCAGGTAAAAATACGCAAAAAGGGTTACAATATAAACTTTTGCCTGAATAATATTTAAAAAACGTTTCACAAAATTTGTAACAATAATTCTTATATTTAGTTTCTACACTGTATTTCGATTAACGTTTGATTAAATAAACGGATAGTTAAATTGTTACCTATACTTACTTATGGCAATCTATTCGTCCGACCAATTAACCGATTCCTTTAATCGAGACTTAAAATACTGTCTCTCAAACAGATCATCATTTAAAATCATTTTTAAATTTTTAAATTTGAATCATATTATAAAAAAGTCAACTCTCATTTACATACTCAAAATAGAGTATACTTGATACTCCGTTACCAGAAACTCGAATTTGACTATAATTCACTCACTTCTGTTGCAATAGTTTCACTCATAAAATTTTAGTTGTACCTATTCGTGATAATAGAGTAAAAATTTCAGTCAATCGGGTGTGGACACAAATTGATACATTGAGTAAAATTGAGTAAATTCGAGTGAATTTTTTTTTACAGTGTATATAGCTGTAAAACCATGTCAGTAATTCTACATTTCAATTGCCAGTATCGCAGATATGAAGGAATAAAATATTTTGTTATTTCTTTTTTGACTTATTCCACAACAATGAAACTGTGTTTCTTTATATTTATGTGTTATTATTTTCTGTTCTCTTTGTGTTAACTTACTATTAATTAAAATTCTTCCGAAAAGCTTCAGTTTCTACTGAAAAGTGAAAACAAAAGGAAAATGCAGTCATTATTATGCAATTAACTCTATAATCTGAGAAAATAAGTGTACCTATTATATTTTTTTAATTTGTTGTTTTAAAAAAGTTACCAAGATATTTAAAAGTCATAGACGTGGTAGTTACGTTTTAAAAAAGGGATTGACTACCCCATATCTTCGAAATGATTATTAAAATGCAAAATACTAAATCTACTGTCATTTTCAGACGAATGCTGTTAAAAACTTTTTTTTAATAATTGTAGGGATTAGCTGTAAATCGTGTTTGCCATTTTGCATTGTGTTTTCTTACGTCTACAAGTTTTCAAACATCATCATCCAAGTCATCAATTATTTGGTTAATTTAACTCTAGGTCACTTCAAACCAAACTGGTTACCTTAGTACAACAGTCACATGTTTACACATCAAAAAATAGACTTCGTTAGGTTTCCTTTAATACTGTTAGTAGAAAAGGAAATGTTAAAGAAACTTCTGAAAAATTGTCTTACAAGCACAAGCATATTACAAACAATGGAGTAGTAATGCCCTCACGACAGGTATGGACATGCGGTCGAACACAAAAATCCTGAGTATATATACCTAAGTATCCTTGGGTAAACCCCATGCATCATAGATACCATCTAGACCTTCACATATGTGAACCTTCCTTATTTGCAAAAATACTGTGTATTTATTGGTTATATGATTGTTCCAAAAAACTCATTACCATTAAATATAAAAAATCCAGTCATATTAAGATAGGACAGGAATCATTATTCTTGATACCCTAAAATAGAAAAAATTTAAGACAAATATGTGATAAAGTCAACACAACCGCAAACATATCTAGGTATGCAGAACGTATCTATGGGGATATGTATATGTGGATATGTATTTATGAGCTACCTTTATATAAAAATAACAAAGCAGATATTTTAACCTATTTATAATACACTTACCGTACTTCGCACGCTTTCAGTTTAGTCATGTCACACGCTTCAACATCGTTACCTTCATGTTTACTTTTAGTTTCGTGTAATGTTCTAGTTTCTACCAGTGCTGGGTGATATGTGCGTTCAAGGGCCATCCTGTGGGATAAAGGGACATCGCAGATATACTGATAACAGCATCTTGAGTTAGCGAGTACCCTGAAGAAAAAGGTTCGGTAAACTCCGATTCACCGCGACCGTTTCCTTTGAACATTCGCCGAATTTTCCTCACCGGGAATTGGTCGAACGAATTCCTTCCAGTCCGTAAAGCCAACTCCTTAGAAAAATATAACTACACCGTCCCGCCCACACACACACGACTCTCTATTATTGTAAAATTGCTTCGGCATACTATTTATCGATAAAATAAATACATATCCTATATTTAAATCGCATACACGCTACACACATGTTTTCCACTAGAAAAACGCGGCTGTTAGTTAATTTTAAGTTTATAACATCCCACCACCACCGGACCATTATTTCATTTGTTCTTTGTCAAATACGTGACCGCACTTGCGAGACATGTTCGAAAAATTCTGTTTTTGCTACAAGCACCGGGCTGCGGCGATCCTCCTGGCTGTCGCCAGTTTAGTAAGTAAAAATAAGTGGGATTCAAATCAGAATTTAAATGTTATTTATTTTTAGATCGTAGGCGTTTTGGGCACAATTACTTTTAGCTTTCGAGTGCAATACCATGCTCAACGGACTGATGAAGATTACCTGATATTTTCCGTGTTTCACCTGCTTATTAGTGTTATTCTCATATCTGCTCTTATTTGGGTGAGTTTTCGTAAAAATGTTGCGTGTACTTCTCTATTTGATACATTCTAGAAAATTAATAGACAAATTGTGTTTAAATTTAAACTCAGGTATTTGAATTTATTAACTCTTTTCGAAAACGGTGGAGGAAAAACATTTGTTTATTAAAAACGGTGTAAATGAACTTAAAAGCATAAACAAAACTGATTAGTTTTAAAAACGTATATTTTGAAATTTGAATTTTAGGATAAGTTAGAATATTAGATAGATCTAATGCAAATCAGAGAAGGGGAAATACTGCTTTAATTTGATTTTAATATTAGCAGCCGTTCGAGCTTGACAGATTCGACAAATATAAATAAAAAATCAATACAGAAACTGAAGTATGTATTTCGTTTCCGCTGTTGAAGTAAACAAAACCAATTGCAAACTGATATAATTCAAATATCGATCATTTGCTACCGAAAAATCCTTCTACTCTTAAAAAAATTGTATCAATGGACGAATAAAAGTATTTAAAAAATTTTGGCACAAAAGAGGGTTCTCAACAGGTAATTAGTATCAAAATATCAATATTACTCATACTATTGACAAACGTATTGTTTACTATTTCTTTCTTTACGTAGGTACTTCTGTGTATCTCTCACACTTGCATGTGTCATTAAAAAATTACTCAATTTGCTTCATTTGGCCCGTCGTTATTTATTAAATTTAGTTGTCTTGCACGCACATACCTTACAGTGTGGCTGTTAATTCCTTTGCTAAATTTCTACTTGATGTTTCTTGATTGTTTAAAATTAAACAAAAGAGGTCGTAACTACATTAATAAAAAAATTGATTATTTTCTGTTTCATGGAATGTGTTTTGATTACGTAATTTAAAATAGTGACAGTAATTAAAAATGTATTGCTCTTGAAAAAAATATTTAATAATGGATGCAGTTTCGAGTAAAATTTAAAAAATTGGCATCATGTCTGGACAGGACTATATTAAGACCTTTAACTAACAGAGATGCACAGTAATTATTATTAATAAATAGAAATTAATAATAATTAATGCTAACAGCAGCGTGTCCCGCTGTAATGTCCGGAAGAGAGAAAAGGTTTTTATTTGTGGGTTTACGACAAAAAGTCACTCTTTGTAAAAACTCCTGTTTGTTCCAAAACAGTCAAGACCGTTAATAGTATATTATGTTACTAGGAGTAGAAGGCGATCATTATGTGTTGAGCCCAAAAGTTTGCTCGCCGAGGCGTTAGCCGAGGCTGAGCAAATTGGGCAAAACACATAATGAGCCTTCCACTCCGAGTGACATATACTATTTTTTCTTCAAGCGTGAATATAAAAAATTACTAATTTTGAAAATTTATAGCGGATAACGCGATGTTCAATCTCAGCACAAAATAAAATCAGTAGGTAGGTAATACTATTTATTTTATACATTTTATACATTTTATTGATTAATTAAACATGACAGTTTTAACCACTTTATTCATGAATAAAAAAACAAATGTAACAATTATTTTTCTTTAATTTGAATTAAACGAATAAACATCTAAATTACCTACATGTCTATCATCAAACTTTATTTATTAACATGAATATTAAATGTGCAATTTTGTATGGTACAGTTGTTGATATTTAAAGCGCTGCTGGCTGTCTTTTTTTCAAAGTTTACAGTTCTGTCGTTGAATACGTTACTTGTAATAAGGTTCTCAGTTTCAGTGTTAACAATTGTACCATTATTAACAGAAAAGTCTTCGATTAAATTATTTTCAGGATCAATATTTACAGTTTCGCTTGATGTACTTGGTTCATTATACTCTAATGGGTTTAATATTTTCATCGCTATCTGTTTCTTATTGTTTACAGAATCTTCAATGTATCCTTCAGCGACGCTGGTAGATTTCCATCCACCATGTCGCTTTAGGGTTGTAATGTCTCCACCATTATCAACTAAGATAGTTGCCGAGGTTCTTCTAAGGCAATGCCCCGTATATTCATGTGGATTTGGCAACCTTAAAAATGATGCAACATCTTTTGGCACTTTTGAAATTTTATGTATGCCCATTACAACACGATGACAATGGCCATTTTGATATTTAATAAAAAATCTATCAAAAGTTATGTCTTTTGGCCGAAGAGTAGCATATTTTCTGTATAAATTTAAATAAAACTCTCCAATTATGGTAAATGAACGATGTTTTTTAGTTTTTGTATTGGGAATATTTACTAATATTATATTTCCCAAATCTTTTACATCATTAACTTTTACTTGAATGAGTTCATCGCATCTACAAGCTCCTGTGACTCCAAATATTAGTGCAACCTAAAAAATATAGAATTATTAATTTTGTAACAATAAAAAAAGTTGGAAAATGCAAGGAAATTCTAAAACATGACGTAATTTTAAGACATCTATATTTATGAGTTTTTACAACATTCTTCCAATGAGCTATCTTTATTTCCGAAAATTGTTTATTATTCTCGTAATGGATACTATAAAATAACTTGAAGTTTACAAATTATAACAAAATTTTGTATTACAAATATAAAAAGGTTAAATATATATCTACCTATAATTTAAAAAGTACATACCTTGGTTGCTAAATATTTATCATCAGGTGCTTTATTCAGGAATTCGTCAAATTCTTTTTTAGACAAAACTTTCGACTTTTTTGGTTTATAATTTTCACCTTGTCGTTTCAAAAATGTAATTAATTTTGAATATTTCTCAATATTTACATTGTGTTCTATGTTTAATTTAGATTTTACCATTGAATATTGCGCCCATAAAGTTGAACTTTTCAGTGTTCTGGATAATCTTGTAAAATATGCTATCATCACATTTTCTGAATAAATATGTGCATTATTTTCTTTTGCCCAATTTATGAATTTATCGTAAGCATTTTCATAAATTTTTCTCGACTTTGTTGGTATAAGTGTTGCCACTGATGTATTTCAATTTCCAGTAATTCTGGAGTGTGCACTGCATTTCTTCAGGCATTTTAAAAACGACCCGAGGCGACATCAAATTTCAACTGACACTTAATGAAACGTCAAAGCTTCTTGAATCTTTAATTCGTTGCTAGGATACTTATCTACACATTGTTGCATTTATTTACTAGTTAAAAAATGAAAAATATTTGTACTAGTTAAACAATAGGCTGCTTCTAAAGGAGGTGTTGCACTATATAATATAAGTATTATTATACGCTTGAAGAAAAAATATTTGTCATTTTTTATACAGGATCTTCAGTATTTAGAAAAATATTGTTAGTCGCCAAGAGTAACCGTTTTTTTTGACAGTATCGAAAAATATTATCAGGGATGTCATTTAGGATCCACAGGGGATTAAAAATTTGAGGTTTCACTAATTTCTGTTTATTTTTTTTTTAAACAAGACGGGTACCTAATTGTGCGTGCTATAATAGAGGAGTTTATAATGGCGGATGCTGTGGCTATAACAACCAAATAAATAAAACAGTGCTCACTCTGGAACAAAAAGTATTTATTATTCAGTGCTATGGTTTGGGTGAAGGCAGTTCAAAGACGATTTAATGAGAAATGGCTTGACATAATAGTCACAGATAGAACTATAAAACGGATTGTACAAAAATTTAAAAACGCTGGTTCTGTATTTAAAAAGAAAAGGGCAACAGCGGTTAACGAAGAAGAAAATGTTGTAGATGCAATCAATAAGAAATGCCCCAAAGACATCTTTAAGAAAAAGAGCTTCAGAAATTGGAAACGTTAGTAGGTCTCGTTTACAAAGATTGTTAATAAAATATAAAATACATCCTTATAAACCAAAGTTTGTCCATACACTAGAAGAAGGGGATGATTCTAAAAGGTTGGAATTTTGTTTTTGGGTGGATGAGCACCATCTCGAAAACAGAAATTTTTCCCACTATATTATTTATTTAGATGAGGCGACTTTTTCCACGAATGGACTAGTTAGCTCTCAAAATTGTAGATACTGGGCTTCGGAAAATCATGATTTTCGGATTAATTGTAGACGACAGTATTCAAAAAGAGCTAACGTTTGGTGTGTCGTTTCTTATTTTGGAATAGTTGGACCCTATCTTATAGAGGGAAACTTGAACCAACATTCTTATTTGCAGTTACTAGGTACGTTTTTCTTAAACTACCTAAACGATATGCCATTAGCACATCGATAGAGGGCTTATTTTCAACAAGATGGTCATCCACCTCATTCTATAATTATGGTTAGAGAATGGTTGGACCAACATTTTAAAGATCGATGGATAGGGCGATTAGGTCCTGTTCCATGGGCTCCTAGAAGTCCTGATCTGACAATAATGGACTTTTATTTGTGGGGCAATCTAAAACAGTTTGTGCTGCTGAACCGCTTGATAATAATGTGGACACTTTAAAAAACAGAATAAGAGAAACAATTGCTAATATTCTTCTATACGAAATACTAAATGTCTATAGAGAATTTATTAGAAGAGCTGAAATTTGTGCAGAAATTGGAGGCAATAAATTTGAGTAAAATTTATTTTTGTAAATTTAAATTACATTGTTACTTGTTTATGTAAATTTTCATATTATAGTAATAAATTGACTTAATAAAAATAAAATTAAAGAAATTAATTATTGCATAAATTTTGCAAATATTAAATAAAGTGGAAAAAAATAAAAATATTTTAATCCCCTGTGGATCCTAAATGATATCCCTGATAATATTTCTCGATATTGTCAAAAATAACGGTACTTTACTCTTGACTAACAATATTTTTTTAAATACTGAACACGCTGTATAAAAAATGACAAATATTTTAACAGTTTTGACCATTTTGGAGCAAGCTGGAGTTTTTACAAAAAGTGACTTTTTGTCGTAAACCCACAAATAATCAATAATCAAAAATCTTTACCAAATTTGGCACTCATACTTCAACTAGTTTAGAAGATAAAAAAAACTTCTCGTAGAAGTTGACAGTCGAATTAAGGAAGCCCCTATTTACATTACGATAGTTTTTCGGGATGTTATGCCGTGGTCTATGTACCTGGTCGACACCAATTACAAAATCTCCATGCATTTTTTAGCCTTAGCAAGAAATCTGCCTGCCCTTGTTGTTCTCGGGCTAAACACTGTGGTGGCGGACCCGCTGAGGCGTGACTGACGACCCGCAACTGACTCAGTCGCGAAGAAGCATTTGTAGAGTCACCATTGAAGATGAGTGAAGAACTAAGAAACGTTTGGAAGCGTTGGACGCGCCCAATTACAGAGACCATTATGGAAAATCAGAGGATTACCATTGTCTGAAGAGCGGTTCCGTCCGTAGTGGCTGTAGAACCAACAAGATCCGAAATGAACATCAAGATGAGCCTAGGGGTTCTGATAGCGGGTACGCCTCCACAAAACCTAGCTCGAGAACAACAACGGCGTCGACCAGGTACAGAGACCACGCCATAACAATCCAAAAAATCTTAGTACCTTAAATATCATCACAAACCGTGATGGCATTAAAACCACTAAAGGAGAATCTTTGGTTATAGGTATATTTGTACAAAATGTTTATTGTTAAAAAATGGTTAACCGATCTATGAACGCATTTTTAAAAATATAGGTATACAAAAAAGTTCTTGAAAAAAATATCAATGTTTTATCCCTAATGGGTCTAGAAAAATTAACTAGTTTAAACTGTCAATTTAAGGCGTTTTTTTACCCATCATTTGATGATAATCTGAAATGATCATATCTTAAAATTGCACTATGAATTTTTAAATTCAGTCAAACTTTAGTAATAATTAAAATATATTTGTGTTAAAATGATATTAATCAAAATCGGTAGGTAGATATCTGGATCAGGCACATAACCAGAGGTGGACCTGGGTTTTTTATTTATTTATTAAAGTATTCTGTCACTTATGAAAAAAATAAAAATTATTGAAATAAACCCTTGCCTCAAAAAGATCAGTCAACGGTTATTCTTTATGGCTAGAATGACACTTCGTTTTAAAACTAAATTGTCAAAACTTATCTTAAAATAAAGTGTCATAGCTGGTTTTAAACATCAACAAAATAATGAAGAGTACTATATAGGTATAGGGATGTGTATTGTGTATTCTCTATTGGGCTTATTTCATAATAATATTAAATTTTTTCACAAGTGGCAAAATACTCAAATAAATAAAGAAAAAACTAAAACTATGCCACAGATCTGAATCTGAGAATTGGGCCTAGGTGGCCCTCTATAAGTATGCTGGCCCATTTTGCGACTCATCCAGATAAGGGGAAAGACTTTTCAATGATTAATTCATTCAAAAGTCCAGTTACGTGCCTGATTATGAAGCCAGTGTATAGAGTGAACAACAAGGACTACAAAAAACATACTTCTAAACTGTTTCAATTAATTACCAGTATGTCTATACTGTTAAAAAATATCAATGTTATTCGTTTAACATTATTTTTTAATACAGTAGACCCTACAGTTATCTATGCAGAAAACCATATCGTAGATAAAATTAAAAATCTGTTCACCAAACATGTAAGATATAAATGTCGAAATATTTTAGCTTTCAAAATTACGCAACGGTTTTTAAAATTAACTCACAATAACGTAGATCACGTGAAAAAATAGCCTCCCTTTAATCATATTTCGTCAATGCTAAGTAAAAGATGAGAGTACCGTTAATGCAACATGAAAGCTAATGCTTTGTCTATTTCTAGGAGCAGCCAGTGTTAATATTTTGCTACCTCATCGTGCACATAGCAATTCTAACAGCTTTTTTTACACACACTGTTATTTACATGCCATTTGGGAAGCTTATTTGGCTCCACGTTATTGTTTTATGTAAGTATAAAATACATAGTTCTTTGATATATAAATTGAAAAATTTTTATTATTAATGCTGTATTAGTGCTGCTGTACACAGTAGTATTAGCAAACACTTGATAGTGTTGGAATTAATGCGATTGGTTGACAATAATAAAAAGCCAAAAACATAGTACAACCCACCAGTATCTACAGGGCGATTCTAAAATATGTAACCAAATTTACAATACGAAAACTAAAGGTCAAATATAATTTACCTAGGTACCAAAATGCACCCTTAACAAGTTACATTTAAGGGGATGTCATTTGAACTAAAAAAAGTAAAAATGCAAATTTCTCCTAAACGTCTGAAGATTTTTTTCAAATTTGGCATACGACTAATGTTAATAACTGGCCATGTTTTGAAATGAAATCAATAAAATACATTGATGGTACGTAGAGAATGTAGGGGTAATTGCTCTTTATTTCATCCTGTATTTTCTGTTCTCAATATTTTAATGGCTTGTCATATCAGTGACAGACAATTCGATTCCAATAGTTTTTCCCCCTGGACATTTTTTGATACGATTGATATTAAACAGGAAAATTGGATTGTATTGATTATTTTAAAGTAAAAAAACGAACAACAACTAAGTTAAAAAACTATTAACACCTTAAATATTAATCTGAAAATGCATGTTTCTTACCTCAAGACAAGCACGAAGTCCTTGTCTAAAATTACACTACGCTCGATTAAAATTTTCAGTTTTATTGAGAAGTTCAATTATAGCATTCCGTAGGTATATGAACCTCAAGGTTTTCCACATTATCTACTACTGCTAGCCTTTAAGATGACTACATCGCAAGTATTAAGATCAAGAGAACGCGGTGACCAAGCAATTGGTAAATTTTGGCCACGATCTATCCATGTTATGGGAAAATGTGCAACCACTGGTGTCAATCAAAGAGTAGCGTACTGATGCACCATCATGTATGAACCACATATTTTGTCTTGCTCTCAATCGGACTTCATAAAGAAGGTCGTTCAAATTTTTTCTAAAAAACTGAGATAATCTCCTTTTATGAGGACCTACAAAAAATGACTATTAACATTGGTCGTGCGTCAAATTTAAAAAATATCCGAACAATATATTTTGACCTCTAGTTTCCACCGTATAAGTTTGGCTACATATTTTAAAATCACCCTGTATACAACCTATAGCTGTTATATTCTTGTTGTTGTGGCAATGAATAGCAATTGTGGTAATATAATGGCATTTATACGACAATGCAGACGAAATTCTGCAAACGCATAAAGTATATTATTTCTGTGGTGAAATATATGTCCCAATCCCAACAGTTCAAAGAGATTAAGACAGTGATAAATTTATGTTGTTATTTTCTACCTCAACTTCATAGTTTGTGTTTTTAAAATTGAGTTTTTAGTACACCGCTGCGAAACTACAATAAACTAACTGTTCTGTGTAGAGAATAATAATAAATTATTTGATTAAGAACCTGCTTCGATATAAAAAATGCTTATACAACATAAAAATACCTGTCAATTAGAATTACACAAGATGCAAAGATTTAGTTAACGGAAATTGTAAATAAAAAGAATTATCTAGTTTGCTATTTAATTCTAAAAAAAAATATGCTGTCTTAAATTATAATTAGAAAAATGTCGATTAAAACCATCTAAACATTTTCAAAAAATAGCAGTTTGTTTTCAATTAACTTTTTCGCGAGATTTGGTAGCAGTAGAACTAATATGTATATCTAATACACATTGTTAACAGAAAATGTTATCGCTAATCATAAAATACATAGAGTTGTGCAAATCATGTCTGTACATCTCGAATAGATATTAGTCAGAACTTCATATATCAGATTAAAATAATAAATTAGTACATGGCCGTTCACTAAACACCACACTAAATTATCTATTCTGTTGAATATAATATTTTGAAAGGTTTATGTTTTTAGGTTTTGTATTATACTGTATGTACTGCATATATTTATATTACAATCAAATCAAACTGAAAAGAAGAACGAATGAAAATGATCGATACGTAGATGCTGTATATTATATAAATAATAATACTATGTATTAAATGCACCCTGTATTAAAAAATTGTATATTGTAGCTATTTATATGTGATACTAATAAAGTTGTTTCTGTTTTTATTTTCATTTTCGCTGTATATTGTCGACGAAATAATTGTTAATTTTTTACATCCCATTTTAGTGACACTTTTTTCAACTAAAAAATGAAGACTTATACAGGGAAATTAAATACCTATTTAAACTTAAAAAAATAAAAAGCAAGTGGAAAAAAGCGACTGCAGTTGCAGTATCTGTATCCTGTTACAAACAGAGGGTTATATATATTCTAAGAATAATAATTACAGTACTCACAAGATGATACAACAATCCTCAGATCCTGAACGTAAAATTTCAGGAATTTTTATTAGTATATCAGCTAGCATATTCTTTATACAGTACCCGTCTAGAGTATGGAATAAATTCAGTAAAAACGAAACAAATTTTTTTTGGGAAAAATCCTCGAACAAGTCGATTTTTAATTTAAAAAATACATATTTTAGCATAAAAGGCGATTTTCAACCGTCATTTGTTTTCGAGTAATGACGTCATCGACATTATTTTTATTCTATTTTTTTTCTTGATTCTGAAAGATCGTTTCATTGTCGATCTTACATAGGAAGAGTTTTCGAGTAAATGACGATTGAATGTTAGAAAACGTAAATTTTATTCATTAAAAAAATAACAATTCCTATGTCAAGCAAATACAATTCATTAAGTTTTCTACCTAAATTAAGTGTTCGAATTGCCACCCACAGACTTCTTGACAATACGCAAATCTGTTTAGAAATTCTTCTTGCACATTATGAATTATTTCTGGGGCAACTCTGTGTATTTCATCTATAATACAATTTTGGAGTTCTTCTAAATTATGTGGTCTATTAACGTACATTTTGGACTTTAAGTAGCCCCATAAGAAATAGTCCAGGGGTGTAAGATCTGGGGATCACGCGGTCCATTCTATCGGTCCTCGTCTGCCGATCCACCTCCTAGGAAAACAATTATCCAGAAAATCTCGAACAGGGCGCGCATAGTGCGAAGGTGCACCGTCTTTCTGAAACCATATGGTGTCATCAGGAATATAAGGGTCATTAACGTGAGGAAAAATTACTGCAAGCGCTGGAACAAGGTCATTTTGTAAAAACTCTAAAAATATCTTTCTCCTGTAAGGGTTCCTTCAAAGAAGAAAGGCCCTACTACTCTGTTGTCAACTATTCCATCCCACACATTTTTTGTGGGTGTGGGTCTGTGGGTGTTGGATATGTGTCTCTGCCATCCATTGAGGATTTTCCCGACTCCAATACCTTCAAGTTTGACGGTTCACTGTACCATTGAGACAAAACGTGGCCTCGTCTGAAAAAAGTATTTGCCGGTGTAAATCTCTATTTACTTGACATAAATCCATCATAATTTCACAAAAGTGTAAGCGGCGGTCGGGATCGTCTTCATTGAGTTCCTGCACAAGTTGAATTTTGTAGGGATGATATTTTTCCT